TATAATTGTTTTAGTATTTATTAATGTTTTGAATTAGCTTTTTTATATTTTCATTATTTTTTTGTATATATTCATATATTTTTATTAATATCATTGATTTATTAACATGTTTAGTATTTATAAATATTTCATTATTTTAGTGTTTTATTAATATTTTGAATTAGCATTTTTTTATTTTCAGATTTCATTTTCATTTTTTTCCTGTGTGCTTTTCGTAATTTTTATTAGTTTTTTAATATGTGAAGCTGTAATTTATTTTAATTTTAGTTTTAGTAATTTCAGTACTTCGATAAACTTCAATAAAACTTACTTCAGTTAGTTGCCAAGACAGCATTTCTCATTTTCATTTCAGTTATTAATTTCATCTAATATTTTATTTTATTTCAGATTTATTTCAATTAACAAAAACTATTTTTATTACTTTTAGTTAGCGATAACAACACCGCGCTGATCAGACTGGTCTAGGATGATTTTACAGGAGTTCTGGGCGGGTGTCAGTTGATCAGACCAGCTAAACCACCTTAAACCAGGAAAGACCAGCAAACCACCTTAGGCTGGATTAAGCTGTTTTTTTTTTTTTTCAAAGCAAGAAAGCAAAATAAATTAAGTTCTATTTCGGAACCCTTTGTACCCTGTTGCCATGGAGACCTGCCAGGGTTGAGACACAGGTCACACAGAGCAGCTGACCAGGAATCAGACACACAGTATCAGAGAGAGGAGAAGAGGAACTGCACAGATCAGAGAAATACAGACCCATGAGGAAGTGCGGAGGAGGAGGAAAACAGAGGAAGAACAGCAGGAAGTCAGTGATCAAACCCTCATCATGCAGCTACAGACTAAAACTAGTCCCTAGAAGCCCGTGGTCTTTTCCAGGAGTGTGTTTGCACCTCTTTGTCCTCCCAGTTTGACGCTACATCCGTCGGCGTGGGCTCCGTTTGCAGCTGTAGAGCACCGCTGGCGCTCTTGTTGCGCGTGTGGCCCCCGGGACGAGACGAGGCCCGACTGGAGCCCGGCAACAGCAGCTGAGGATGGAGCTGGCGGTTCGGGGAGGAGGGCGTAGAGGTCAACACCAGGGTTTTCAGAGCAGAGACCTCCGCCTGTAGGACGTCAATCTGAGAAGACAGATGTATTTTGAGATTAAAGAGCCTGAAGTGAGCAGAGAGTGAGACAGAAAGAGTGAGAACGCACCTTGCCCTGGGCCTCCTTCAGTTGCTTCTCAGCCGCCGCTTGTTTCACGTTGGCCTCTCGCACCATCTTATGGGCCTCCTAGAAATGAGAGATGAACGCACACAGGTTTGTGACATGAAATACTTTTGGGAAACAGACATGTCCTGTGTCTGACATGCTTTGAAAATTATTTTGAATAGCATTTTGCTAATGTTTTTATGCATGCAGCATTTTTAGCCAATTTTACATGAATGGTGAGACTACATGGAACATTTTTTAAAAATTATAAAAAAAAATAAAAAAACAGTAATAAATAAATATGATTCATGATTGAAATATGATGATTATTATTAATAACTACAAAATTAAATTGTATTAAATTGTAAAATATGTTTTTTAATGTAATATTAATTGTAAGACTATATGAAATATTTGTAAAAAATGACAAATATAATTAGAAATTACAATTTTAATTACAATTATAAATAACAATTCATTATTAATTATATTATTATATATTATAATTATATAAATATATTAATTATAAAATATTTTTATATTTAATAATTAAATTACATTAAATTGTAGATTTTTTATAATTTAACATTAATTGTGTGGCTCCATAAATCAACAAACAAATAAATAAATATGATTTATTTTTAAATGTATATAATTATATTAATAAATTAATTATTATTATAAGTATTTTATAATTTATTACAATATTCAATAATATTAAATTGTTAATTTGTTTTACAATAAAAATTGATTTGTCACCACAACATCATTTAAAATTAGCTACTAGAGGCAAAATGATTACTAAAAAATTAAGAAACAGTGGCACAGTTTGATGACCAAAGATACAATCCCTTAAGCTAAAATGTAATATAATGTCAGTCTTCATGGCACATGTGTCAATCTACTGCCAGTGATGATGTCACATTAGTCCCGCCCACCTCAAATAGACTGGCGGTCAATTCCTCCAATTCCTGCTCCAGCTGATTCCTGACATGAGACAGTTTGACACACTCCTCGTCTTTCAACTTCAGCTCCTGAAAACACAGACGAGTCTATAAAGCATATTTGAATAGAACCGATTTGAATAGGAGAGCCTGTTAAATAAACAGCAGTCTACCCGAAAATGAAAATTTGCTGAAAAACACGCAGCTTTTCGCTTCACCAGATGTTAACTGATGGACTGGAGTGGTGTGGATTATTGTGATGTTTTTATCAGCTGTTTGGACTCTCATTCTGACGGCACCCATTCACATCCATTGGTGAGCAAGTGATGTAATGCTACATTTCTCCAAATCTGTTCTGATGAAGAAACACACCCATCTACATCTTGGATGGCCTGAGGGTGAGTACATTTCAGCAAATTTTCATTTCCGGGTGAACTATTCCTTTAAAGAACCAAAGCACTGATCTGAAGAACCTACGAGGAAACCTCAAGAACCTTTTACACAGAAAACTGGTTCTTGGCGCAGAATAGAATAGAACAGAATAGAATATGTGGCACCTTTTGTGCAGCATCCAGCTGCTCTCGGAGGAATTCTGTTCCCTTCTCCTTGATCTCCAGAGAGGAACTCCGCAGACGGGACATGTTGTACGTCTCTCGTCTGTGTGCTCCTGCCTCCTCCTCCTCCTCCTCCTCCTCCGGGGGCATCTTCTCCCGCTGCCCCCCATCACCCCCCAGTCCAGGCCTCAGATGTGGCTCCAGGTCTACCAATTATGTAATTTAATTACAAAATAAATGTAAATGTAATCAGTTACAGTTACTGAGAAAAATGTGTAATTAAATTACAGTTACTTATGAAAATGTTAACGATTACAAAGGGGGTTACATTTGAATATTTTCACACACACAGATTAAATTACAGTGATTGCTCTAAAATATGAGACACCAATGTTTCAGGAGTTTAGGACACAGAATACAACACATGCTTAATTGATAACTGTTTTATTTCCTATTTGGGTTTATGTACACGCTTTATTTAAGATTAACTGTTTTTTTCCAAGGCATTGTTAGATGCCAGTGTCTCCAGTCATATAGCTATGCAAAGATTTGATTTCAAAAACAGTATCTAGCTATTAAACTATTTCTTGTTAATTGTTATGATTTTAAATCAGAAAATAATGTGTATTTTTAACCTTAAACCGCATAAACACATTGCATTACACCAAATACACAAAATAATGTTATTTTTAGCAGCATCATATGACCCCTTTAAAATTAAATGATTATAATCAATTCAAGCGATGAAGACTTTTGAAAGTCTGACAGTAATCAGTGTTGAGTACTGCTGTGAGGTTAACCCTGCCTGCTTTAAATGTTGCAAAATGATTAATAGTTTAGAAAATTTTAGAAAAGTAACCAAATGTAATCAGTTGCATTACTTTACTAAAGTAATTGAAATAGTTACACTACTTATTACATTTTAAATAGGGTAACTTGTAATCTGTAACCTGTTACACACTTCCAAAGTAACCTTCCCAACACTGCCAATATCCAAACAAGGACCATCTCCAAATTCCTTTTACAAGATAAGAATAATCTAGTCATGAAAACATAACGCCACACCCTCCTGCATATAGTCTGACAGAGCAGTTAATGATTTCGTACACGATCAAAATCAGCACTGACTGAACTTCAGGGCGGTTTATGTAACTCTGCGCTCCGCGGTAGTCGCGGCATTTTCCGTCCGCGCTCCCCGCCCTTCCCCTCGCCGCGCCCGGCTACAGGACTCCCGCGACCCGCGGTCACCGCGCACCGCACACCGCACACCCGCTCGCGTCAACAGTAATAATGTGACAATCTAACAAAGTTACAGTGTTACAAAGTTGCAGCTCCGCTTTCCCGAAATGAACAGAGATAAACAGTAAGAAAAATACCAATAGATCTCTAGAAACTTTGAAGTTTTCCGAACCCGACTGAGCTCTACAGCTGAGATCTAATCCAGATGAACACTCCGGAATCCGGATCCGAGCGAGAAGTCCGTGATGTCTTGTTTTGGGTCGGACAGTTTTGGCAGACTTTCCTCTGAGATTGAGCAGGAAAAATGTCCAGCTGTCAATCACAGGTCACATGACCGAGCGGAGGCATCCAGGAATCACGTGATACGCCTCAGACAAATAGTTCAGTGTAATTATTCTATTCTGTTCTATTCTATTCTGTATGCTATTTATGATTATTATGTTATTTTGTTGCATTCTTTATGTGTTATGTTATTTTATGTTACATTGTTTGCTCAGTTTTAGTATGTTCCCATCCATGGTTCTGTTATGTTGCATATATAATTTTATGTGCTATGTTATTTTTGTTCTATTGTTTTGTATGCTATGTTATGTTGTATTGTTCGCTCAATTCTGGTATTTTATATATTGTTTGTTCAGGTCTAGTATGTTTCATTCTGTTATTTTGCATATTATGTTATGTTACATTAAATTGTTTGTTCACTTCTAGTAGGTTATGTTTGTTCCATTCTGTTATGTTGTGTGTTGTTATACGTTGCGTTATGTTGCGCTATGTTACGTTGCGCTATGTCATGTTACATTGCGTTATGTGAAGCTACGCTATGTTACGTTACATTAAATTGTTCAGTTCTGGTATGTTATGTTGGTTTTATTGTGTTATGTTATGTTGTTATGTTTCATTAAATTGTTTGTTCAGTTGTAGTATGTTTGTTCCATTCTGTTATTTTGTTATGTTATGTTGTTTATTCAGTTCTGATATGTTGTTTGTTCCATTGTGTTATGTTGCGTATGTTATGTTATTTTATGTGTTGTGTTTAGTTGAGTAAATTTGTTATATATGTTGTATGTTTGTTATATTATGTTGTTACTTAAATGTTCCTAGTTCTGATTGATTTTCACACATTGATATTGTGTGCCTACAGTTCTGCTCATTCAGCAGGATGAGTTTAAATCCTCATTATACATTCACAAAAATAATTGTGGGTGAAAGATTTTGCTCTGTCACCATTTAGCAGTTGTTCATAACATTAGACCTGTTGAAGTTAAATCTATAAAAAGCAAACAGAGTAATACTATGGTACTTTTTGTTTAGGTGAAATCTTGACGTACCTCCCGACCGGGCATCTCTCTTTCTCTGCTGTATGCTGATCCGTAAAATCACCTTTGCCAAAAAATGTAGGTGATGAGTATACAGCTATCCCAGAATTCCCTGCCACCAGCACCTCGTACCCTGGAACAGACCTGGAGCGTGCAGGAGGAGAGGAGGAGAGCTGCACACGATGGATTCCTTCAAAAACGTCCATCACAGAAAGTCTAGCACCTCTTAAAAACACACACTCGCCGTGAGTGCACTCACTTCAGCTGCATTTCTCACAGCCAGCCTGTTAAATACAGAGAGATTAGGTTCACATTCAGAGATTAAGACTGTAGTTTTTTTTCATGCATCACTGCTAAAGTTTCCATTCAGTTTATCAAAGTGTAACTAAAGCATTGCACCATAACCTAATGTTTGCAAAAATGTAGTTAAATATCTACCTAACATGCTCTCAAAGAGACAAAACTGGAAAGTATTTAAATATGAAAATGGATAAATACTCAGACTACAACTACAACATTTATCCTTTTTATACATAAAAGTATAAAATAATTATATATGCTGTAAACTGGAAATAAAAGTTATGACATTAATGATATGATAAAATGTTCAAAAAAATGTTGTAGTTGCTTTTGATATAGAAAGGGTGAAGTGTAAGTGTCATTTTTAAATGCGCCATATAATAGGATGTATCAAAAGTCTCCGAGTCCTTCCCATGTCAAATACAATGACAGAACACAACAGAACAATCAGGCTTACCCCAGTGACCTAATGCGGCTTTTTCCCCACAGACTCTTCATGCAAAAGCACTTTCAAAAACCCTACTCTCGTTAAATACACTCTCAGATGCTATTTGCATGTTTTGAGTATCTAAACAGTTGCAGGTCTTCACACTGGATGACAAGTTGCACTGTCGCTCCAACCCTGAACGGAGTTCCAGCACTTGTGGTCAGGCATAGGTTAATGAAATTGGGGCCACACGCAGAGGTGCATTTCCTCCACTAGAGGGCCCTACATAGTGCACTTAACACCCTGTTGAGGGCCTCTGTGGTCAGAAAGTGTTTATTGGAGCCTAAACTCCACATGAAAGATTAAGAAATGTTGATTTCCTGTGCATCAACATAATATTTACATGACATAACTGCAATTAATACATGACTCTTTTAATGGAGAATGTGAGTGTTTGTGCATGTGTGAGTTTTAAAAGATTCGCTCAGATTAACTCAGGCCTACAGACAAGGAATGGAAAGCAGTTGCATTTGATATGATGGACTTACAGTCTGATGTTTTCTGTTTCTCTTTTAATACTTCTCACATTTGCTTCATTTGACCCATGCATTTGAATATAACTGGCTTGTTGCAATTAGTTTAGATGCTGATGCATGCTTACTAACATCTGATTCAGCCAGTGCTGAGCATGCATGCATGTGTTTCCTGGTGTAGATGTCCATGCTTATCAAGAGAGCGAGCGGAAAAGACAAACTGAAAACACTAAACTGTACTTGGAGCCTATGAAAACACGGCAGGACAAGAACTCAAGACTGGTAGTAGGTCACGAACGAAGAGTAGCGTGTTCACACCACAACGGTCAGACACAAGACTACACACGAGGGGAACTTAAAAGGAGGGAGAATTAAGGAATAAACAAGCCACAGGTGTGACGGCAGCTAAAGTAGTTAATAAGATAACGATGGGGAGGGAAACCACGAAGACAATGAGCACATGGCGAACTGTCAAAACAGACAAAAAACAACAACAACCTGCTGATCAGACCGAAGTCATGACAATATGTTATTAAATTGTACATAGGCTATATATCAGATTATTTTATTTACAAGTTTCATGTTTGTGTTTATCCCGTTTTTTCCCCCGTTGCATCTGAAAATTACTTTCAGAAACATTTTTTTTTTCAAAGCAGCCCCCCTCCCCAAAAAAGTGCGGCCCCCCCAAAATTTGTGCCTGCCCCCTCACTTTGTGCGCTCTGGCGCCGACTCTGTCTCTAATCATAGTGAAAGGTCAGTAGAGACTGTGATTGACAGGCTGTGAGTGGTCTTCCTGTCCAGCGATGACGGTGACATACTCACGGCGGGTGGCAGATGCGCGCCTGGGCACCTTTTATCGCCTGCTTCTGCGATGGAAAGGAAGCATCTACAAATTGTTATATCGAGATCTGCTGATCTTCACTGTGATGTATGGCACCATCAGCATCACATACAGGTGAACACTGATTCTTCACTTTCTTTACTTGAGCCAAGCTTATAGTGATGGTACAATGGTAAAGTAATGGTGTTAGATAGATATACCATGGTGTTTTGATATGTATCATGGTATTAAAAGACAAAAGTGCCATGTTTTTAAGACATATATCATGGTAGCATTATCAAGTACATGGTATGTTCAAGAATACTGTGGTACTAATATTTACAATAGTAGTAGTATAGTATTTCTGGAAGTATGTTGGCGTAACATGTATATGAATTTCAGTAGCGCTGGTATATTTCAAAGTACCATGATTGATATCTTATTTGGATTTATGGCATTACATATGGCATTGCCTACCATGCTACATGTCCAAAAACATGGGATTACCTTTGTACCATGTCTAAAAACACGATAATACCATGGCACTTTGATATACTATGATGCTAATAAATTATATACCAAATCCACATACCATGGTATTTTCATATTTTGAATTTACTGCAAAGATGCAGCATGGTACTGCCATGGTACATTCCTAAAAACATGCTACTACCATAGTACATGTTCAAAATGTTTCAGAGTACCATAATATTACCATCACTTTACCATGGTATTTTTTTTTTGTAAGGACATGTACTTACTAAAGTACTACCATAAGGGTTTGGGACATGGTACCATGACATTACCATGTTTATTTTTTAACATTTACCATATTTAGTAGCACAGTATTGTTGAAAGTATATTGGAGTAACATGTAAATACATTTCAGTACCAGTGGTACCATGGTACTTTTTTAGGTTTGAAAGGTATATGGTACTCCAAAAGCTATTTCAAAGATTACCATGGTAAATAAAAACATATTAATACTGTGGTATTTTAATATGTACCAGGATACTACAGTAAATGATTACCATATTTATATACCATGGCATTACCTGTCATGGTACATGTCCAAAAAACGTGGTATTACCATTGTACCATGTCCAAAAAGCATGATAAAACCACGGTATTTTGATATACTATTGTACTAGATGATTAACAGATCCATATACCATGATATTTCCAATTTACTGCAAAGAATTTATTGGTTTACCATAAACATTTACCATAGTAGTAGCATAGTATTTCTGGAAGTATATTGGATTATCATATAACTACAGTCATTTCAGTACCAATGGTATATTTCAAAGTACCATGTGATACCATAATTATACCATGGTACTGCCCCACTACTTTTTTGTAAGGGTACATTTATATCGTACTCCAAAAGATATTTCAAAGAACAACATGGTCCTTTAATATGTACCAGGATACTAAATGATTACCATATTCATGTACAATGGCATTACCTACTATGGTACATGTCCAAAAAACATGGTACTTTGATATACTATGGTACTCAAGCATGTATGTTTGATTTTGAGTATCATGTTTGATCAAAATTATTGCTGGGGACAATTTAGTAGTCACTGGATATCGACAGGGACATGTCCCGAGCATCCCTAATAAATTCTTCGCCCTTGATGGTACTAACTGATTACCAAATCCATATTGTCAAGTTACTGCAAAGAATGGTAAAACTTTATTTTAAGGTGTCCTTGTTACAGTGTAATTATACATTTAAGTACTGAGTAACATTAATTAACTACATGTACTTACTATATGATTAGGGTTAGGATTAGGGTTTGGCTTAGTGTTATTCACATGTAATTAGGCATAATTTATTATTATTATAATAAAGCAATAAGCCCCAAGAAGCCGTGGTTTACAGTGAATTTATAACAGCAAAGGGGCATTGTTAGGCACGACACGAAGCGGAGTGCCTAAAACCCTCTTAGCTGTTATAAATTCACCGTAAACCATGGCTTCACGGGGATTATTGCTTTTATAAAATGGTTATTCCATATACGTAGTAAGGTTTCACAAAATAAAACAGAGCAAATAAAGTGTAATGATATTAATAAAAACATTATTCTTCCGCCAAACAATGTAGTTCCTCAGAACGGTTGTGGTTCCAACAAAGTGGTTGCAGAGCAACACACAAAGTAAACAAAGGTGTATGTTTGTAGAGTAATTTACAAAAGCTTCGAACTTGGCTCAACCAATCAGAATCAAGGACCGGAACTATC